ACTGAACTGGAATCCAGATGCAGAGAAGGATGAGTGAAGATCAAAGGCAGGGGAAACCCACAGAAACAACTGACCTGAACATCGGGGAACTCTTGCTCCCCAAACTGATAGCTGGGATACCAGCATGGGACTGATCCAGACCCCAGGAACATGGATTTCATTGAGGGAACCTAGGAAATCTACAGGGCCTCTTGTAGTAGTTCGGGACTTAACCCTAGCATAGGTGTGGACTTTGAGAGCCCATTCCACATAGAGGAATACTCCCTGAGCCTAGACACACTGGGTTGAACATAGGCCCTATCCCAAAAGATATGATAGACTCTGATGACCCCCTATGGAAGGCTTCACCATCCAGGGGGAGCAGAAAGGATATGTGATAGGTAAGGTTTTAGTGTTGGGGAGTAGTAGATGAGGATGTGAGGGAGAAGGGAATTGGAATTGTCATGTAAAACAATCTTGTTTCTAATTCAAATAAAAATAAATCTGAAAGAAAAAAAACCCAAACAAACCAACAAACAAAAACAAAAGATGTAGATGGGCCGAGCATTGGTGGCACACGCCTTTAATCCCAGCAGTCGGGAGGCAGAGGCAGGCAGATCTATGTGAGTGCCAGGATAGGCTCCAAAGTTACACAGAGAAACCCTGTCTGAAAAAACAAACAAACAAAAAAAAGAATGCAGATGGTCTGTAAAACTTGGACCAGAGATCAACGGTTGTACCAGACACACCTGGCTCTGCCTCTTGGGGACCTTGCAGAGTGCACATCCCTGCTCTCTTCACATGCAGCACGCTGGCTCTGTATGCAGGTGCAAAGGTCCCTTTAAGAAACAAGCTCCGCCTACTCCTGCTCTCTCTACCATTTCTCTGTGGAGGCAGAGAGATCTCCATCTGGATCTCTGTGTCTTCTCTGTCTCTCTCTTCTCTCTTTCCTTTCTCTCTTCCTTCCCCGACTCCCTTCCCTTCCCCAGTAAAACTTCCTTCCCATGTAAGTTCTGCCTGATGGTGTATTTGTCCTTCACCCATATGGTACCCTTCCAAGGTCCCCCTCGTGGCATATTATTACATTTTGAATGGTGAAAGGCTTGCCCAGCGTGCAAGCACCACCCTAGGTTCAGTTCCTGGCACAGTATGTACTGGGTGTTTTCGAGCATACCTATAATCCTGGCACATGGGAGGTGGAAGCGGGAGGACAAAACATTTAGGGTCATTCTCAGTTAGATAGTGAGTTTGAGAGCAGCCAGGGCCACATGAGACTCCGTCTCATGGGGACAGGTAGGTCAAAAACTTAAAAGAAAAAAATCAGAAACTGGAGTGGGAAGGAAGTGGAGTTTCCCATGTCCCTTGGAGAAAACAGAGGTCCAAATTTTAAAGAGAGCTGGTATCAATATGGTGACATTCCATAGGTTAGCGTGTGCTTAATTCTTGACCAAATTTTACCTCCCCCAAATGTTGGAAAAGATGGATAATGTGTTATTGTCTAGTTGCTTTATTTTCAGGGGTTCTCAATGTAAACTAAACTTGAAACACAGGTCCTATAAAGTTGGAAAACATTGTGGCAAATATTCATCTTTAAATGCTATCTGCATCTATGGTGTCAGGAGTCATAAAAAGGCTTCCCTTTGTGTGTCTGCATGGGTGGTCCCTTTAGTTTCTTATAAGATTCAACATATAAATTAGGGCCAGGCTGAAATGACACATCTGTCATTTCAGCACTCAGGATGAGGATTACAAGATGAAGGTAGGATTATGTCCAAAATACAAACAAACAAGGAAAAAAAAATAGAGAGAAAAAAACTACACTTATTTTGGAACTTCATCCTGTCATGTTACATGTATTTGATTGCCACCAGTGGTCAATTTTTCTTTCAATTTTTTTTTTTTTAGTTTTATGTGCATAAGTGCTTTGTTGTTGTTTGTTTATTTGCCTCATTGCATGTTTGGTATCAGGTGCATGCCTGATGCCCACAGAGGTTAAAAGAGGCCACCAGATCCCCTGGAACTGGGATAACAGATGGTTATTAGCTGCAATGTGAGTGCTAGGACTAGAACCTATGTCTTCTAGAAGAACAAAAAATTAGTGCTCTTAATGTTTGAGTCATCTCTCCCACCATCAGTGATAGGCTTTGCTGCAGCTTTTTATATTCATAGAGGTCATCACTTAAAGGAAATTCAATAATCATAGAAGTGTTTCATCAAATCACTTAACAGGTAACTATAATTTATCTATAAGAATAAAACTGCTAAAGTTTAATATGGCACCTGATTCTAAGGTGTAGCGCAAAATGGAATTATTTAGTACTTGGCAGTAGCAGGGACAGCACAGCCACCCAGAGAGGGCCATCCTGGGTCAAATGCTGGCTTCAATTCTAATGGGCTCATGGCAAGACTATGCCATTTTAGACTACATATAAAATGGGGATGGACTGTGTCAAGCCCCCAAGTGTTCTGTGATATTTTGATCCTGTTCTGACAAAGCTTGCTTGGAGTCAGGGGATCGAGCTAGCCACCAGCGGACCAAAATTAACCACAGAGGTTTTAGAGGACTGAGGACAGACAGGAAAGGAAGTAATAAGGTGGGCCCAAGAGTGGTCTAGGCCCTTTTGGAGAAATGAATGGATCAGGCAGCAGAGAACTGGTGGCTTCTCTGCTTCTTTGATACTTCAGGTTCTTACTCCAGTATCTGACTCCTGAATTTTTATTGATAAAGAGTAATTGGATTAATGCTTCAACCAAGGTCACTGTGATAAGTACAGGACATGAGATGGGTTTCTTTGTGTATTAACCCAGTACATGCTGGCCATTACTGGGTCTGATGCTTGCTCTACCCATGACTTCTCAGGCTTGTATGTTCATTGTAGCTATTTCAAGGTTTGTTTTCTCATTAAGAATGTTCAAGTAATACTCTCTCTCTCTCACTCTCTCTCTGTCTCTCTGTCTCTCTCTAGGTGTGTGTGTGTGTTGTGAGCTTGCTGTGTG